ATTTGACCTGAACAACTTCCTTTGACCTAACAGGTCATGTCTTTCGTTAACCAATCAAAATGCTGTGTCGTACAGAGGAAGGTTTCCGATTATTGACGAAGTAATTTTTTCAACGCAATGCAGAAGTGAATTACTGCGATGTTAAAATGTGATCTGATTTTGCCAAAAAACGGTGATTCGCAATTTTCGAAAATTAAACTACGGGTGGAGGAAGTATTTAAACGTTTCATGGTTGCCAACAAGTCATGTCGAAGAATAGTTTGCTCGTTCACATCCCATTCACGAAGGTCTCAATGGACACGATTATTCGGAATAGTAAAACGATGTTCAATGACCATTTTTGGCGTTTCTAAAACCACTACTCAAAAGGAATATGGATTAATTACTTCAGTATTGCAACATCGGGACTCATTGTGAGTAAATAACAGAATAGAAAAGGTGCGAACCATGTTCCGTACGTTCGCCAGCCATCCACTCTGAAATTAATGGAGTTGTCTCGTAAAAGCAGGAACCAAACGACCGTACCGATCACGATTTTTATGCAATGAAATACACTTTTTACTTGCATATTTTAATAAATGTCGTTGGGGATGCCCTCAACTTGTTAAATGTCAAAAAACAGAGGTGGGCTTATACTCGGGGAGGGGCTTATACTCTGGAAAGTATGATAATAACACATGTTTGTGAAGGCAATATCATGATATGTTGCCTGCCCAAGGAATGGTGGTCATGACCATAATACTGATGAAGCCAAAGCAGTTATTATGCGCAGTAGTTTCAGTGACGTCATTCATGTGATATACCCATGTAATATCCACTTTGCAGGCAATATACCATGTAATAACCATTTTTATTCAATGTCATGTGACTGTTCTCAACCAATCACAGCATGCATAACAACAGTGATAATGACAATTATTGCATAGCTCAATCATCTGGTTTCTCATAAATTTACAAGGCTGGACAATATGAGGTATTTGATGAGGAAAACAATTGCAAGCTCATTGAAAGTGTTATGAGGCTGGGCAATACATGAAAAAATACAGTCAGAGCCCTGTTTTATTGTTGCTGAAGTCTTCTTCCTCATTTGGTACTGAAAAATACTTTATTTTTCTTTGGAATTAATTTTCGCTGGAATGATTCAGTGAAAATAAAATCCAACTCGTCAAAAATCAGTAAAAACAAATTCATTACAAATCACCAATTCCAGCTATTAAAAGTAAAGTATTTTACAGTAGTTGACTAAAACAAAATAATGGGTGGATTTGTACAGTACATATAAGTGAGTCAGATTTTATCAGCATACTGAGTGTACAGATATTAGTGAAACAAAAATTATTATATTTTAGTAGAAGACAAACCTTCAGTCTCCCTTTGTCCACTATAAGTGGTGGTTCAGGTTCTTGTAGTATTTCTATTGCTTTTTGTGTTTGTGTGTCAGCAGCTTTACGCCTGGTAAGCCTTCTAATAGGTAAAGTTTCCTCTGTGGAAAGATACAAGTTTGGTTTTAAATACTGTAAACTATACAATTTTCACTGCTAGAAATGTCTGCAATTTCAAAATTAAATGACATTCGTGAATACAAAATTTCACACAAGTCACTGACACAATGCCATTGGACCCAAGAAGAAATTTTCACTCCTATAAAATTTCAAAATTTTCACTGACTTATGAAATTCCTAAAAAAAATGCCTCCTGCAAAGTTGTTTACAATGGTATGCATAAAGCAACTCAGTGACCTAATTAGCATAATTTTGCATATCATTTGCATACAATATTATAGCAATTATATTAGCAAAAATGTTTTATGTCATGAATTGCAATACACACACACTCACATGTATTCACTATAATTTTTTTCATTTCAATTGAAACATGTCAAAATAAAACCAAAAACATTTTTTTGGCATCAGGACAGTACATCACTACATCGCATGTACAGTCATCTGTGGACCTTCAAATAATATTCAGGAGATATCTCTACGTCATAACCTCATGCTTCCGTCCCTTTTCCGTATTTCACAACCAATGCGTCATCCCCTGTCAATTGCAATTTACGTTTTGTGTAAGTCAATTAAAACTCATTGATGGTGCTGAACGTTGTGTTTGTATATTCGAAGCCCACACATAAGCGGTTCTACTAGATATATACCCAAGCTAACAAGTCACACCAACCTAGCGACTGCTCGGATAGCAAAAGATTTGTACACACTCACACCATGTCATACTTTGTAATATGAAATGACAATTATGGTTCCCAAAGAACTCTGGATGGCAGTCAAAGGGTTAATGAGCAATAACTTACTTCCTCAAGCAAGAAAAAGAAAAAAAATTAAATCCGTTTACTTTACAGAAAGTATGAAAAGAACATACGTTTTTTATTTGTCTCTTTGTCACTGTTATTCTCTTCTCCATTGTGGCTCTCATTTTCGTCATCAATGTCTTTAGTTAGACTCAGTATTATAGTGGAAGACTGCAAAAGCACAGACTGAATTAGGTGACATGTGACAAAATAAATTGAAATATGCAATATTAATCAGATAACTACTCAACAATAACAGATCAGACGATCCTCAGTAGCTAGTATTGCGGGTTGATAATATGCAAATAACACAAAGATTGTCACGACAATACACCTGGTCAGTTCCTGTGATGTTTATTTGAAGTTTTCTTGAAGAAGCCCCATTTCTAGGGCGAAACAATGGAATAAATATCACAGAACTGACCAGGTCCTGGTGTATTGTCGTGACAATCATTGTGTTATTTGCAAATCAATTAACTACATGTAAGAATTAATAAATTATTTTTTTGAAGTATTACATGTACATGTATGTGATTTTCTTATACATCCATTATTATCATTAATATTAAGATATAGACAATTTTCCAGTTGTTTTTAGAATTAAGTCTGAAAAATTGCAAAACATTTTAAAGGGCGGCAGTCGTTGCTACACGTCCTGTTCGATATGGGACTCATAGCAACGTATACAAAGCGAGTAAAATACATTGTTTATTTACATGAAATTCGAACATGTGCTGCGCGACGACCACCACCCTTTAACTTTGTTCTTGCATCGGTTTATCAGGTGGATATTTGTGAGCTATGTTTTTGCATGCCATTTTGATTGTAAGTGTAATCAACTCATGGTGTATTTACCACACAATTGACTTTTTTCTCCAATTTGTTACTGTAAACTGGGATGAACGATTAAGATACCGGTAATAGTATTGACAGGAATTCAAATATTATTAAAATGTCAACAAAATTTATCGAGTTTCAAGTGTGATAATCTTTTGTTATTCAATGTAAAGTTCTCTCCCATATGCACTCAATATCAGCTCAGTAGCACAAAATATGAATTCGGTGCCAGTTTTCTCTAATATAAAACACACTTACCAAAATGTAAAACACAGCAGTAAGAAGCTTATCAAACTTACGTTTCGACTCTTATGTGCCTCCTGTTTATCTTTCAAAGGCGACTTTTCTTCAGCGTGTGATGTTTCACTTTCCTCTATCATAGGTCGATGCTGAATCCTTACTTTCCTCTGACTTGAAGGAGTACTCTTACAAAATGGAGTATCAATGTTAGAATCACAACTATTCTCGGCTCTATCTTCGCTACTCTCAACTTCCACAGGCATATCATTTTCTGAAAGTTCAGAGCGTAAAACCGGCCCACTTTCGCAGTCACTAACCCTAATATCCTCATTGGTTGAATTATCCTTCTCACTACTTTTCTCAACACAGTCAGTTTTATCTTGGAGAGACACTTTTGGTTTTGTCCTTGGTTTTGAAAGTAAACCTTTTGACCATCTACAACCACGCCGCTTGCGTTTACGGCGTTTAGGAGTAGAGTCAGAAAACAAATTTGCAGTAGAATCTCCCTCGGTATTCTCAGGATTGGATTCTATACTTCGTGCTCTTTTTGATGACGATGCATTTGAGGTAGAAGCAGTTACAGGTTTTTCTAGAGGCTTGACATGATAGAATTGTGGAGCACTCCTTGACTGTGTTTCACCTAACAAGCAAAGACAAAGACAAAGAATGAATCAACTATTCGTGGGTTTCAGGCGAGTACGATTGTTCTGTTGAATTCCTGATTCCCATATTGACAGCGTTTGCACATATTTCATGACCTAGGATCAACAAACCCGGAAGGTAGGACAGGTTTTGAATGTTCAAACAGGACGCGGTACACTTCTCCCCATGTTTTCAACTGTTTTGAATATACCACTGACTTCTTTCGGGGTTGTACGGCTATTCTTTTTTATATTTTTGTCCTACCCTTGCCAGTACACTGGCGACAGTACACTGTCGCATCAACCTTCTCTGCATGTCGTTCGATACTTCCGCTGCACTGTCTTCATGCATACTTTGAAGTATACTCGTAATATTAACCTCATAGTATCGGTAAGCATTATGATAGTAAGCTCAAACTGATAAATAGATTAAGTAGATTTGAAAAAATAAGTGCATTTTCTACAGGATTATTTAATATTATCTTCATTTTTCTGATAAATTCAAATATAAACAGGTAAAATTGATGTTCAAGTAGTCGTATATCTGTGTACAATACATGTTTTGCAGACACAACATGTTCAAGACTGTGAAATGAGTTCCATACACATCAACACTGTAGATTACAGCATGCAATGTACTATATCAGATCTAAGTAGTTCATTGATGTATAAAATAATTGAACATACCTCTTCTCTTTCTAGACTCTTCGATATCAAGACACAATTTGCCAAACTCTGGATTGAAATCACTGTCAACAATAGCGTGGGCAATATCTTTCATTTCACAGGCACGGTGACGAATCACTTTGTCTGAGATTTAATTAAACAGAATAAAACATAATTTGAAAACCGTAATTAAAAGTAAACACTTTGAATGTAGATTTCAATTGTCCATAGTGGCAGTTTAAATAAAGTTATGTGCATCAGTAAAAATACACTATGTATGGTCTTCAAACGATTAAAATTGGATTTAGCTTAGAAAAAATTATTATTACAGAAAGACTACATTCACAAGTCCAATATGTACTGATAATTTAAAAGACTATTTAGTATATCTCAAATATATGAGACTATGGTCGCTGAGGATGGCAGGCACTCTTTTTAGGGAATCAAAAATTCAACTTTTCAATCCCAGGATAGGAAGTTATGGGAGATCTAAACTTGCTAGTCTATCCCAGATTGTGTTGTGTTGTCTACCATACACATATACTTGAACACTTTATACCCCATATTAAGTTCACTTGAAGTCTGTGGCATAGCATGGTGTCACCCAACTATGTATTAATTGATTTGCCATCTGGTTGTAGCGTGAGGAAACCAGGTCAACTCAAGTAAACTTATGTGGAAATGTCTCTGTAGGTCCCTGCAGTACAAAGGACTAATTATCAGAGCAAATGAGACATGTTGTGCATATGTAAATCCATTGTCTTTACACCAATTATAAACAAGATAAAAACACATTTTGCTTATTTTTAGGTAGTTTTTGGTACATTTATTGAAAATTTTGGACAAATTTGACATAAATTCCTACTGGGCATGATCAATATTTTTTTTTTGGGGGGGGGGTCAGGTTTTAATCTGTGATGATGACAAAAGTTAACATTGGCACACATAGAGAGTACAAAATCCCTAACAGGAAGTAAAAATCCACAATAGAAAACTTCCACTAATAATGGCATTTAAAATCATTGTACTAAAGATAGGTACAAGCACATTGAGTAAAACTTCATCACATTCAATGTCAGAACTGTGAGCCCTGTGTTTTACCTGAAGGATCTCTATCTGGATTGTATTCTAGTGCATTAGCACAAATCAAGTCTATATCAGCAAGGAATTCTTTGATATTACAATATTGGTGTAAATCTATCTTCTTCATCATTGTTGACATATCCATTGGATTGGAAATGACATCCAGGTAATCTGGCACCTGTAGAAATAAATCAGGATACTATTGTATTTAACTGAAACATCACTGCATGGTTCTCAACAGAATATATATAAATGGGGCAGAATAGATGATTTCACTGCAGGATCATGGGTGGATTGGACATCCGCATCAAAAATTGAATTAATTGATGTTATAGTTTAATGTCAAAATGCATATCTTTCAGAGAGGAATATGGTGTTACGATATTCTTATTTCATCAAAATTGACCATCAACAAATGTGCATAGAAAAAAATAGTTTCACTATAGTCGATTCTGACACAATGTGATGCCACTACCATGTTATGGCCCTTCTTTGTTCTGTTTTCACATTTTTTTCCATGCATAACGCAAGATCTCAGTGAGAGAAAATTATGTACCATCAGTTTAGAATTTATGAGCTGTGTTCCC